GCTCAATATTATTAGTCTCCTTCCTGTCACTTGTTGAATGGAGCAATTACTAACCGGATTACATAATTGGTAAAGGATAACATTCCTCTGCGGGCTAATTACCAACAAAATTTTCTTCCAACGAATCTCAATGGTCAATAACCCTTACAATGATCAATCAAAATTGACTATATTATCTCTTAGATAAATGCTTGGACTGAATCGTTAACCTTGTGGTGTAAATATAATATACAAAACTTTTTCCGTCGATAAGACTACTTGCTTAGTTTAACTAGAATTGAAATGTTAGAGAGGCGTATAGTGAATTAAAGAAAACGAAGCAAGTCATTTAAATTATTAATAATAAGATATATACGATTTGCATTGATTCCAAAGCTTAGAACTAGTAGGTGATCTTTAATATAACGGTATTCGACAACAGTGATGGATTACTTTCAAATCAGAACTGACATATTTGGTAAGATTTATAAAACAATATATGCCACAGTTATTAATATATTTAAACGTTTTATATTCATTTATATAACCGACTTTTCTATCCTTCAATTTTTACAGTTATCAAAATAATTGCAGTAATTCTTAAAAGGTGCCTGAGACAAGCGTTAAGAACAGATTGCATTTCTACTTGCACAATCTGTAATAACAAGACAGATCCCACTGGCCAGCATCGACAATGGAAAATTAGATTTAAAATCCAACGGCATTATCCGATGGGATTGAACCCGAGAATACGTTTTTATTATTCGTTTGCATTTCTATTATGGTTTGGCCAATGCTCAAACTAAAAAAATGATGAAAGAATCGAATTAAGAAAACCATTAATTAAAAAGTATGTCATAAACAGAAAATTAAATCCGTCATGCGATTGAACAATTTTATTTGAAAATACCATTGTTATCGTAGTGGTATATGTGGTTACTATAGATTTCATTTTGCAAATCAAACTAAAAACATCAAAGATATCACTTGATCTGTTGTGTGGACACAATATTACGATAAGGCGATTTCTTCATGTTGAACACTATGTATCCAGATTAAGATCAATGCCAATAAGTTTGGCCATGGACCGGTTGATAAAAAAAAGAGACCCGTGAACCTATACTGTTATCCTTGTGAAATATGATTGTTTTTATTCCTTCTTTACAGAACAATTCAGACTTATTATGTTTCATTCGCTTGTGTTCATTCCTTGAAAATGAAATCTTTATGAAAGCATCATAAAAGGCTTTTAATACCACAAACGAAGAGTTTTATTTTCGAACAATATTTCTACGAAGAACAGTGCCTTCTGTTGACCCACAAGAAACTCTGAGGAGCAAGCTGACGTACAGCTATCGAAATACCAATTCATGCAGCAAATAATGTCATTCGGGTTTGGGTTTAATTTGGCTTCTTTAATGTTGTGAATCTGTTTATATCTCAACACCACATGAAATCACTTAAATTCACAGATGTAACTTAGATACCATTGATCACGAAAATGTCCCATTAAACACGTGTCATCTCGACCCCTTGCTAACTGGTTATGGTCGGCAAAGATTGAGAGGCAGCATTCCTAAAAAAATATCATACGCAATACAACAAATCTCATCAAAATGAATAACATTGGTATTGATCTTTCTGATAGAAATATAGCCACATACTGCTTATTCAGACAGATTATATCAATCTGTATTACCTAAATCTGTATTTAATCCTCCTATTCTAATGGAATTTTAAATTTCCCCTCCCGGGCCTGTCTGTTGTTGATTACATCACTTAGTTTGAACTCTTTAATTGGAGCTATGTTTTAAATGAACTGAAAACACTGGGTTGCATTATATTGTGCTCATACTTAAATGCATTAAGGCAGTTTAACCGTCGGTATTGTTCGCCAATTGTTTCGACATTCTGACCCCGTCTCTCTGTGGATTACTACCCGGACTATAACAGAATATAACGATGGTTGAAGAATCTCAAAAGTAAAAAAAATTATTCAAAAAATAAAATTCATTAGGATTAAAAGAGTGTCTTTAATATTTGAAATCTGGAATTAAGCCATTTGGAAACAAGGATTAGACCTATTATTACTCAGCAACACTTTATGTTTAAAGTAATTTTCATTTGCTTTTGAAAGTCTTAATAGCAACACCACTTCCGTAAAAGAAAACACATCAAAAAGAATCTTTGACAAAAAAGATCAAAGCACGGTGTAATGAAGATGAATACAGCGAAGCAGTAATGCAGTTTAGTTAGATTGTAGCGTGTATACATGTATTTTGTAAACTGAAGATAGATATTTCAAATCATAAACAATAGCCAGACAAATCAGGCCCTACCCATAATTGGATGGGATATCGGAACCGGGTTAATGGCCAGACATGTAACGTCTATTCGTGAAAGTCGCTCCGACCCATTTTTGAATTGCTGGTTTTTGAGAAAATTCACCAAGACAAAAGCCCAATTTGACACAACTTTTGTAACCTATACTATTGCACACTTTGCAAAGGGAACATATTACAAATATGTTTTGTACAGTAAATAACTGTTCCAAACTCTAAAATTTACCTTATACAGAAGACTAGAAAGGCAGCAGACTCTCTACTCAACGAAAAACCAACGAAGCTGTAATAAATTTTCGTATGAAGACACATGCGCAGTATCCCTAATCGCGATTTATATTGTCATTGGCCATTACTCATGGACAACAATCCAGTAATGCACCAAACAAATCTAATGATATCGTAAGTATATGAGCCTGGAGTTATAAGTATGCAATGAATGAACATATGTACAGTCAAAGAAAAACGAGCGCCAGATATCAACCAAACTATTTGCCTCTTCTGTACATAAAAGTACATCCAGAAATATGTCACAATTGTAAAGAAACCGTGAAAGAGTGGTACTCAAGCATCTATTAAAACGGTCTGCTTGCTTCCTCGTCCGCATTATTCAACAATCCAATCATTGGAATTTGGATTTATCATGTAGTCTTTTGGGAACAGTTTAAATGAGAATAAAAATCACAGACATATTTACCTAGAAATGGTCAATAGAAATAAATTACTTCAAATATCCAATTTCTCTTAGATTTATTGACAGAGACTCACGAAGGATTTGGAGTTTGACCTAATTAGAGTGAGCTCTCATCACAGGAACCAGTCGAGTTGAAATCAACCGAGACTCTGGAGGATTACATAGCTTAAAAGTTATTAAATGTTATATCCAGCTGAAGGGCACAATTGAATGGCTCGGAAGATTTGATGTATTTGTCTCATTTTCAGAATGTTTTCATTCGACACAACTAGTTCTATTTAGTTTCTAAGTGAGTGTGACAAGGTGCAAGGTTATAAAATTGTATTGAGACCAATAAGTCACCACAACGAGGAGATATGCATTACTGCGCATCAGGGGTGTATGTCTTGAGCCCTGAGCATTTAGAGGGCTTAATTTTCACTTCAAAATAAGACTCCACACGGACAGGCTATGGTTCCCCCCCCCCCCTAAATACGTTACTGCTCGAAGTGTTATGAACATTGATTGGTATACCATTAATTCTTTTTCTCTTGAACCTTTGGTAATTGACACAAAAAGTATCATTACGCTTTGATCCTGTTAATAATGTGCTCGAATGTTGTTGAGGTTACTTATGTGGTTGATACGTTGTACCCTAATAGTCAAAATACATTTGGATGATGATATACAAATCATCTGGAAACTTCAGGCATCTTAAGTAAGTATTACTCCTACCACAAGAAAATTCAATATCAGCTTAAAGAATTCTTTACCATAATCTCAGTGACACTGTTTAGTGTGTTAAAGAGTGTTCAATGTATCTATCAATTTATCTCCATCAAACAGTGCTTGCCTCCCTTTCAATTAGACCATCTAATCAGTACAGAGTTTCGTGACGTTACTCGATCTGGAAGTGTGGTGAAAAACTTAAATCGTTCATCTTTGGTTAATTGACGGTCCATTGATCTTACTTGTTATTACTATTGGTACCTTGAAACACAATAATTAATTATCTATCAACTATGATGGAAACCAAGTCTCGTTGGAAAGCTTTTATTTTCTCTGATAAACGTTAGTCTGTCTAAGGTGTCACGAGAAGAAAGAATTACTTAATCAATTTTCCTAAAACAAATGGTTTCGTTTAGACTCGCAATTGGCATGTTATTTAATGGGGTAAATACTGACTACGTGATCAGCAATAATAAAGTGCCCATTCGTTTTAATTTAGTTTAGAAGAAAATGTAAATTGATTCAGACTGAAGTAAGCCAATGATGATTATTTTAAACTCTAACCAGGGTGACAGGACGAAGGGCAAGAGCGCCCTGGAAAACTTAACTTCGGTTTGTTAAAATTTTGATGTGGATCGTCTGCCTGTTCTTAATTCTATGCATGTGTATAGCATGCCCACCGATGGTACCACATGCCCTGACCCCCGAACACGTTCAATGATTTCTTAATTGTGTAATTTTAATTTGGACTCCTTGACCTTTTCTCTGTGTATTGCGAAGAATACATATCAATATTACAATGCATCCCTATTTTAGTTCATGGAAAACGATTTCTAATTGTAAATCAATCATCATAAATCTCACATATGCCTTCGTTTTTTGATGCATGGTCAAGTCAAGTCGGTGAAAACTTTCTATTTACGGTTAAACACTATTAAACAGTTTAGTCTTCATTGTATTAATCAAACTGCAAAGAACTTGCATAATTATGAGTGCCTGCCAACTACAATATAAAGTATCGAAACTGTTAAATGCATTCAAACACTGTCCCTCATTAAGAGCAATCGGTCTCTTGGAGAACAGGGAATTCCAGTTACAGGAAATGCTGCTTACGAGTGCTGCAAAAATTTCAGATAAATAATTATTTAATAGGGTTATCACAGTTGAATGTAATCAATAAAAATGGGATATTCCCTTAACGTAACACTGGATATGAGCTAATGATATCCATCGAATAAGTCTAACATAATAGAAGCAATAATCCAAATGAAAATATTTTAAGGAACCCGAGATTGTAGAACTTGAAACACAAATATCACTCCAGGCTTCTTGTCCAAATATGACTCAACACGAGTTCGTGAAACTCTTTCTATGATCCCTTGACCGATGTATTTTTCCATGAGAGGTTCCAATCGTCCTTTATATTCTTCAACCAATGTAAAGATATATTCAGGTGCACTAATTACTATGAAACCACCTAAAACAAGAAAAAATATTTAGATTCACCAACATATTATCTAGCAGTTGCATGCGCGTTTCCATCGTGTCCAAACCACACCATTCGTCCTATTTCCTCGAGTTGATAAGTATAACAAAATCTGTGATACGATGGGGCTTTTCCAACCTATTGCTTGTCGAAAATGTTTTACCACATTCGCAATCTTGGAGTTTCCACTCCATCGTATGTAAGTGATGCCATTAAACCAATATTCTACTAAACATCGCCTATTTGATCATTAGTGTGTTAACTATTATTTTAATTTAATCTTTAAGTTTACCTGGTTTGACAACTCGAATAAACTCTTGTAAAGCTGCACATGGCATCAATCCAGGAGCAAAGCCACCAGAGCTTACTGCACAGTCATATTCATCTGAAAAAGAGAACATACGTAATGATGCGCGACCAATTCACGATGCATTGACCATTGGCGGATCAATGTCAGCCAAAACTCAAAAAGGACGCATATACACTTACCTGTCCTAATCTTTAGAGGTCTTTCATCTACAAACTCCACAATGTATCTCCCGTATAGATTTTTCTCCATAGCTGTTTTTTCTGATGCTATACTGGGATCTACTCCATCTATTTGTATGAAACCATACTTTCGTAACTACAATTTATAAAACTAATTACTGGGGTACATAACTCATGGGATCTCTCATAGCACATGTCTAACTGTTAGGTTAGGCTGTTGCTTGATAAGCTTACAAATCTGCAAAATAATGAACCTTGAAATCTGAAATTCTCACTACCAGAGCGTTTAGATTAATACGCTGTATTCAAGAATCAAACTGGCTTTTGAACATTATATAAATTAGAGTACTGGACAATTATGTGACTTACTTCAACTGATAGTAATCCAGTTCCAGCAGCCATATCAACCATTCTTATATTCTCCCTATTCTTTTGGAACAGTTCGGCAACAACTTTGGCAGTCATCTGAGGTCCCTGATAGTTCAAGGCATTGACATCCTAAATGGGACAAATATTAACTCATTAGCATCTTCTGGAAACAAAAGTTCTTACGTCAGTTCAAGTATAGGTTCGAACCATTGTTAATGTATTGCATAGTAGAGCAAGGTCTCTCCGAACCTTCATTAAACAAGACCATAAGGAAATTTTCGAACTAAGCAAAACATCTGATGAACGATGAATGGGCTAACAGACAATTCTCTCCTTCTGTATATCGATATGAAATCCGGCACTCGTGCTTCTAGCTTGAGGAAAACCCGGCAGCCTCTATCCGACTATCCCGTTGTCAGATTTGATTGTTTTGTTTTTTCTTTGTTTTTTTGTAACAGAGCCAGTTGAAAACTTTCAAAAAGGCCCCGTGAATCCACTTCAGATACTAAGAATGCAACCACTTTCAAATACTCACTTCTATATAGGTCCCCTTTTCAACCCATTTATCAAAAGTACCAGCAACCTCCTCTCTTGACATCCCTTCCCTTTGTTTTATAGAATTCATATAATGTAAAGAGCCATCTTCTTCCTGGTAGAATTTCTTGAAGGCTGCTGTTTTGGTAGCATCTGTTGCCATGATGGACTACGGCTATTTGGCAAGAACTTCAATTATTATAGTCTAATCAAAAGAAAATATGTCATTACCCATGCGCCCACGAACAGCGATAACAAAACGAACCATTCAATGCAACAGGCTATTTTGAAAGATGAACGTCAAAATATGAGATTCTGGGCCAAATTGAATGACACCTATATAAGAATCATTTAGGCATTTAGTAATTTCGTTTAGTGACACGAACAAACCGTAGGCGTAGGTAGTGTAATACAGTACAAAGGCAATTAACTCAAAGGTTCACACATATTGAGTATATCTTATTACAACTATGAGGTCACTGTCCGCTTTACAGAGTGTTGACATACTGTATATATATGCAAATTTTCACACTGTTGATTTGCAACAAATTATTAATGTATAGCCATCACTATGGTACATACCTTATGTTGGAGTGAAGTTCGTGTCAGTAAATGAGCATAGTGTAGATTTCAAGTGGGTTTTAATAAATATCACTAGTCAAACCACAGCTGATCACCATGACCTGGTAAATTTGCATAAAGATAAACCACACACTCTATATATGTACTGTATATGTATGGAAAATTACAGAATGTGCCACACCATGAACGTCGAATATTAAATTACCGATAGAGTAGAGAAGTTCACTGGAGATAAAGTAGAATCCGCCGGCTCTTTTTATTGCGGTGTGCAATGTGATTATGTTTCCGGGATTGGTTTTTCATATGGCACAGAGTTTTAAAAGGCAATTCTCTCCTTCTGTATATCGATATGAAATCCGGCACTCGGGCTTCTAGCTTGAGGAAAACACGGGAGCAATTCCCTGGCGGCCTCTATCCGACTATCCCTCGGTCACTAAGCTAGGCAGGCCCGTTGTCAGATTTGATTGTTATGTTTTTTATGGGGGGGGGGGGGGATCGGTGGGGAGAGTACGGTAATGAAATTAGTTGCCCCCTCTCCCCTAATATTCTGAATGAATATCCGTATCATATATTGTGGTAATCAGTCCATTCCCGTTTATCTCAGATGTCGTGCCTCTTAGCATTTGGGTAAATTTATATATCATGTGGATATGTCTTGACAATTAACTACACGTATTAGTTAGTAGTCTACACTGATTTAATCTGGAAATAAACAAATTACCAAGACTCACAGCTTGGTCTGTCTATAAAAGTTGACCTACAAGATCAACCTAAAAGAGTTACGTATCCCGAATGATACGTTTAGGCCCCTGATTGTTTGAAATCGTAAAGAGTAGTCCAATAACGCAATCTATTATTATGCAGATTTAAAAGTTTGTTTTAGTATTTGTTTTACTGGTGACTTCACTATTTATATTTATGGCTTGCCACTGTCCTCGCACTATTTCTCTCAATCATATAACTTACTATGACCAAAAATAAGGCGCACAACTCCCTGTCCAAGCATAGTCGGGCATAGTGTAAAACAGATTCCATTTGTAAAGCATAGACCATTTTCAAGACAAGTGAGTACAAAGTTAATAATGGATGGTAAAACAAGGGAGATAACTACAATGGAAAGTGATCAAATGAATTGTGAGGTTTTATAAGATAAGTTGTCAGAAACTGTGATGTTTTTAATTATGTTATCAATAATAACTTTAATGAACCCTTTGTTCCTTTTGTAGATAAGGTATCTTTAATCCATAATATGACAATCATTCGTGTAATATGTTATCGATGACCGATAAATATGAATGAAATATCTCTCTTTTATCATTTGGTAGAAACCAAACGGTTTCGATTTTGAAACTGAAAGTAGAATAATAAATTTATGGCCCGAGGAAAAGAGGGGGGTGGGGGGGGGGGGGCACTGGCCCAAAGATTACCGCCATAATTAGCCACTTGATATTAGTGGACCTTTCAACCGGAAAACGGTCAGTTCCAAAATATCAGTCTGTTATTATCTCAGAGATAAGACAACTGATAAGAGATTATTCTACCTATTATAACGTTTAAGGTGCTATGTGATCTACTTCTTTCACAACCGTTTAAAAATCAAAATGATGAGGTTAATTGTGTTGCTTTCAATAGCTCTTGCACAATGTAAGTTTTCTCAGTTTATATTCAATAGACGGGCTTGACTGCTCTCCAAAGTAAACAAATGGTTGTTCCAAAAAAAAAAAATGGAAGTAACGTTCAAATGGGTTGGATGACTGTATAAATATTAATACTAGACTTGATCATTCAATACTTTCCGAAAAACATGCTTTTATTCAAGGTAATTTTCATATGAAGCCACTGATGCTATATTATATTTTTTGTAGATGCATATGGTTGTCCTAATGGTTACCATTCACACAACGGATCTTGTTACGCCGCAGTTGGAGTCCGATCTACTTGGCCCAATGCTTATGTAGGTTAATTTGAAATGGTCTATCCTATTGTCATATTTTGTCGATATCATGAAACTTATAAAAGATACCCAGCTGGACAAATACATGCTGATGTTTGCATATGCGTGAATTGTATAAAATTTTTCATTTTAGGATTATCATTAAGTATATAATTTGGATGTCTATCGAAGATCTGTATTGTATATGTAGTAAGTCTTGTTTGTATTTCAGTCATTTTGTAAATCATTGAATGGTAGCTTGGCTATTGTTGATACAGAATCTGAAAGGGACTACCTTCACCAATTTCTCAATAATAGATTTGGTAGGTAAAATTTACTATGTTTACTATCAACCATTAAAGTTCTTCATTAAAAACAGATTAACCATAGAAATTATAGCTGCAATTCCACTGCAACCTACCATGAAGACAGATTGTATTTTCAAAAGCATGTGTAAATGACAAAATGACAAATCTGTGGTGTAACATTTTCAGTGATTAAGATTTTCTAATACTCTTTATTTTTTTTTTTTTTTATAAAAAATTAGGTTCTAAATTTGTGTATTATTGGGTTGGTGCCACTAACCTTGCCGATGGATCATGGATGTGGGCTGAATCTACTCGACCAGTAGACAATCTACATTGGAGTTCTGGTTACCCAACCGATGGTTCCAATTCTCAGCATTGTTTACAGATGGTTGTAGCTCACCATTATTATTTCGGTGATAATAACTGTGAAGCTAAAAACGCATTCGTTTGTGAAACTCAGTAAGTGTTATCTAATTTAGCAGTTCCTTATCTTGACATCATAAAGTTCGTAATGCATTGTTCATATAAGACTTGTTGTTTGCAAGTATTGTATTGTTCGTACTGACAAATCAGAAGTCATATACTTACAACATGCTTTTGAATCATTTATGATTACCTTCTCCGGAATTAACCTTACTTACACAAATTCCATGCCTTTATAGAAGCGGATTTCAATCCACTATATTTAAGCTGTGATCACATTTTTCAGCAACTGGCTGATAGCATGTTATTTTAGCAAATTGATGATCTGTTAGTTTGTTATCTTTTATATCTATGAGACCTTGTAATTGTCTACCACTAATTTTTGCCGTTTTCTTTCTTTCAGAGATGCATAATAATAAACAAATTAATTGTGGTTCATATTGTTTTATTACTTGTAAAAAATCCTACTGTTAACCAGTTTGTGAATAGATAAATCCCCATTATCCATAAAAGAGCCATTTATCATTTCCTTCTTTTTACGATATCATCAACACTAAAAGATGATTCATCACCTCTTTAAATCAGTCTCTTGAAGAGATGGATCATACCATTATTCCATAAGTATAATACAAACCCATTTGAATACGTCCCCAGAATAGATGGATAAAACGACCAACGATTTAATAGGGGAGGAATCTATCCTCTTAACACCAGTCTCTAGAATAGATGGATGATAAAATTATCCACAAAGGAATAATACATACTCCCTCTACATCAGTCTCTAGAATATAGGGATGATATCATCACACACAAAAGAATAAGCCATCCCCTCTGAATCTGCTTCCAGAACAGATGGATAAAACGATCATTTAAAAAAGGAGTAATGCATCCGCCTCTAGAGCATAATAGAATAGAATCATCCAAAAAGGAAAACAGTCTCTAGAATAGATGATTGCTACCATCACCCACAAAAATATAATATATCCCCTTTGAGTTTGATAAAACGATCGAAAAAGGAGTAATAGAATAGACGGATGAGACCACCATCCATAAAATAGTAATTCACCAACCCTTCACTTCAGTCCCTATAAATCAGAAGTATGACACCTTCACCCATACAAGTATAATACATCAGCCCTCAGGAATAGATGAAAACTAATGACCATTAATACACCTATACACGCTACAATAGAATTTTAATTTCCACGAATCAAATGTTAATGAAATCTTTCGGAGTCTTGTAGATACCTGGCACGGTTGTGAAAGATCATGGAACGCCTGTAAATTTCAAAGATGAAATATATGAAACGTTCAGTTGTTCACGGTTGATGATTTCTATATTTAATATACAATCATTCAGAGATTCAGTACACCTAACTGTATTCTGCAATATAGCAAGAGTAATAACGACCAGTTTGTAACCAAAAAAATTAAGTATAAGGTCAACAAGCAGTTGCAATAGATCTGGTATGAATCAATGATTGCTTTCGTAAACTATTTTATGGTTTCATAAATTATTTCTGAGACACATATTAGAAAAACACAGTTACTCCCCTTTACCTGGAATATTAATACAAATACCTGATGCTATTCAATATAGAATTTGGTTACTTGTGCGTATAAATAGGGGCTCTTAGGTAATACGTACTATTTTTGTCGGATTGTTTCGCATGACTTTGTAGATTAATGGAATCTTACGTTTCTTTTAATGTCTTTTCTTTTAAGTTTGATGAGTGCAAAAATTAAACGTGAGCTGAGTTCAATGGTGAGTTGGCATTTTTAATTGTCTTATCATTGGAGAGGTCATAGAGGTTATCTAGATCAAATTTACGATAAGAAGTTTATTATGAAGTATGCCAATATGACATCTTTGAAGTTTGTTGTGGTCTTTCTTGTTTTGCAAGGTAACTTTAATAATTTTTTAAATAGAATTTAGGCATGTAAATGAAAGTTTTATTGTCATCTAGTTTATAACTCAGATGCATTATTAGGCTAGCTCGATACGACACAGATACAATTTTTTTTGTGGTAGCATACTTTAAAATCAGTAAAAAATTTACTCTTCAGTTGTATACTCCTGTCCAAATGGTTATCATCAACATGATGGGTCATGTTATGCTGTGGTACCTATTGCAACAACATGGCCGAATGCTGTGGTATGTTCAATTTGTCAATATAGACATATTGTTAAGATATATAAGAAGATATAAGATAAGAAGGCTTCATATGATAATTTTAGACAGATTTCATAGCCATGCTGTATTAATTTCAGACATGTTGTAAATCTCTGTTTTAATATTTCAGACATTGTTATATTTTCAGACATATTGTAAAGCTATTGGAGGATATTTATCAGTAGTCGATGGGGCTGTTGAAAGAAATTATTTAAAACAATATATCAACAATAAATACGGTAAGAAATTAAAGTCTTATATCTTCATTTCATAACCCCTGAAACCACAGAGCCCAACAATTTTTGTATTACAGAAACATCATTTTGACATTTAATTTGCAATATTGTTTGTAGGTTCACAATTTAAATATTACTGGATTGGTGGCTTGAACTATGTGGATGGTTCCTGGGTTTGGGCAGGCTCAGTAAGAACCATTGATCCTTTGATGTGGTACCCAGGGGAACCCTCTGGTAGACCTGGTGAAAGATGTCTAATGATGGTGCAGAAAGATAATTATCTCTTCGGAGATTTGGAATGCGATGCTAAGTACCCTTTTGTGTGTGAAGTAAGGTAATGTAATATGAATAATCTTTTTCTTTCACAATCTTCAAAAACTATGTCGGGATTCCGAGCATAACCGCCATAAGTCGACATAGTCCACAAGTCATATTGTAAAAGCCAACAAAATTGATACAATGGACAATGAAACGAATAAGTAGTTTAAGTGTTCGCTGAAACATTCGACGCCTTCTGTCAGTACACAACATAGACCAAGATAGTATCTCTGTTCTCTTATTAAAGGAACCTGAATGCATGAACCCCTATAAGTATTTTTTTTAACAACCAGTCCTTCGGTTACGAAGAATTCCAGTTCAACAATTTATTCACATTATTACACCTTTTAACAATGTTTTTCAGACCTTGAACAGAACGAAAATGTTTTCTTCATATAATAAACTATATAGCTTACCCGAATATGCATATTATGTGCCGAAATAAAATATCAAATATCAAAGTGTTTTTAATCATTTTATTCATCATTGAATTCCATTCAATAAACATGCTGGGTTACCGCCTTCACATACACTATTATTCACTGATTGGAGTATTAGAGGGGTAACAAGGGATTTTTTTAAACTTACTTGTGTATCTGGTACACTAAAGAGAGAATTGCATCATTGCAATTTACAGTCAGATTTCTGTGGGTCTTGACCTTCCCCGACATAGGCCCCTTAAATACCAATAGCAGTTATAACGATAGTGGCGTCATATGCATTCTATAATAACAGAAACCACAGATATCATTACATGGTCCAAAGCACATAAAACATAGAAACCCTTTATATATAAACACAAGAGGAATACCAACCACAACGACAAATGTTTTAAATGTAAAAAATGATCGAAGTTCATTAAAATCTTGTCCTATAACTCCTTTAATGTGATTTCGTAACTTCGTCATATGTGGGCTACACGGTTACAATCTCTACACTCTTTGTCTGAAACTTGTGAAAATGTTGAAATGCAATCAAACCAACCGATGATATTCAATTATACCTGATAAATTTATCTGTTATTAACCTTCAGTGCAGTTTTTTCGAAGAAGTCGTCGCCGAGTTTCTTATGTCAGAAAAATGTTGGTCGTCCATTCTTATTTAAGGGACTAAATGCAAAACATCATGAAGGTTTGGTAAGGGAGCCATATATTTATGACAAACGTAGTGTCTTTCAAGCTATGAGGTGAACTAAATACGAACCCACTTTCGTAGACTTCGTTTATTAAAATTGGTTCATAAAATTGAATTTCGGTTGGCTTTCCTTGAATATTCTGTACCTTTCATTGCGTAAAAGAAAGACAAAGAAATACAAGAGGGTCAAAATGGCAAAACTTAAGTCACGCAAATCCAAGAAGCTGAAAAAAAACCTGAAAACAAATCCCGCATACTTTTTTACGCGTGAATAAAAGGATTTATTGTAAAGTGTACTCTCTGACCTTTCGAGCTATAAGTTGGTCATAACCAATAACCTATTTCGAGATTCTTATCACTTCAAAGAGGTCAGAGGCTAAACCAGATTGAAAGAGAGCTCCCGTCAGAAATGACGTCCTTGTTCTTATTGGTGGTGTTTCTTGTTCTGCAAGGTGCGTAAAAAATGTTTTAATTAAAATCAAATTAAACAAAACAAGCAAAATATATCAAATAGGTGATAGCAATCAAACACAAATTTAAAAAATTGGTTTCCGATTTCCCTTCCAATTATAACTGTCATTATTTTATGTACCGATTCAATTAAATGATCAAATTGTGTTTCAGTTGTATATTCCTGTCCAAATGGTTATCATCAACATAATGGATCTTGTTATGCCGTAGTTCCAATTAGAACAACATGGCCGAACGCTGTGGTATGTTGAGTTTGACTTTATATTGTACATCTAAAATTTCATGGTTTGTGACAACCGTAATGTGTATTTTCAGACATTATTTTTATTATTCACCAGAACATGGATTACAGGGTTTTGTGCTGTGTTTTTTTTCTGGTTTTGCACCGGGAAATAAGTATGAAATTTTGGGATTTATTTTACCAAGACAGTGGCATTATCTTCTCCCATCTTTGAAGGGTTATCAACAGCCTGTAAGAAAATCAGGCCCCGGTTTATTGCCTCATACGAACGATCAGATGTATTTTATATGTCCTGTAACATACCTATTGTTATGTGCTTTTATTTCAGACATATTTTAGAACTAGTGATAATGTAAGTTATGTTGTAATTCTATGTGTTCTACATTTTCAGACATATTATAATGCTGTATCGTTATAATTGTAGACGTTAAGTTGTGCTATATTTCCTGTAATACATTAAAGCTATATGTTATATTTTCAGACGTATTGTAAGGCCATAGGGGGATATTTATCAGTTGTGGATGGAGCTGTCGAAAGAAACTATTTGAAACAATATATCAACAGTAAATATGGTAAGATGTATTTATTTGTTCTGTATAAATTTTATGACATTTGACTGTCCACTGTTCGGATGTTGCCTTCATTTTCCGTCCATTTCTTAAATCATAGAGTTAGTCAAATGATGTAGTCATTTTCTGATTTACTTAGTCTTTGGTTTAGATAACAGATTGCATTGACAATGTTTCTACCCTCACAACGACGATATGTCAATCAAATAGTTTTAAGCGAGATATCGATACCTGTTTATATAATTTTATTACAGGTTCCCAGTTTAACTATTATTGGATTGGAGGGTTGAACTATGTAGACGGTTCCTGGGTATGGTCAGGATCAGTGAGGACCATAGATCATCTCATGTGGAATCCGGGTGACCCATCTGGTAGACCTGGCGAAAAGTGTTTAATGATGGTACAGAAATCTGACTACCTTTTCTCAGATTTTGAATGTGATGCCAAAAACGCATTTGTTTGCGAGGTGAGTACACATTAATCATAAAAAAATGCGATGTTTGCAATGCTACTACCTGTTTTAAACTTGATTCAATAAAAAAATACATTTATCAGTGGACAAACGTGTTGTCCGTAAATCCGATAATTCCACTACGTAGAAAGAAGATAGTAGCCCTTAGAGATATAAAGACTTCAATGTATCTTTAATAAACGCCATTTAATGAGAGTCCATCAATTTCGGTTGATCTACACATAATGATATTTATATGATATATTTTTTTCAGACTCAAGACAAAAGAGCTCAGTAGATTCAACAGTTGATTATATTTTCATCTAGATACTGATATAAATTATACACATGTATTTATCTTTATGCTTTTTTCATCTAGGGGTAGCCCAGAAATATATAAAAGCTTGTTCAAAGATATGATTTCCAAATACAAGATATAAGAGCACTTTTTGTGCATTTTTTGCATACTTAAAATGATAGAGGCGATGGTGTCTGATTTAGCTAAAAAGAATTTTTTAAAAAAGCTTCAGCTTGGTCTCAAAACCGGGACCTCAAAGTTGCCAGGCGAGTGCGCAAACCACCAGGCCACCGAGACCTGGGGTTAGCGAGGATTAACCTTAGGGTTAAGCTGGGGTTAATCCTAGGGTTAAGCTGGGGTTAACCCTTGGGTTAAGCTGGGGTTAACCCTAGTTTTGAAAAAACAATTAGGGTTAGCTCAGGAAAGGCTTAAAGCTTGTTCCAAGATATGGTTTCCGCATATGAAATGTGGGCGATTTGGTTCGGCCCAGGGTTAGGCCATTCTAGATGTCAGGGATCCCTTTTGTATACTTAAAAGGATAGAGGAGACGGTATCTGACTTAGCAAAAAAAGAATTTTTAAAAAAGCTTCAACTGGGACTCGAACCCGGGACCTCAAAGTTGCCAGGCGAGTGCGCAAACCACCAGGCCACCGAGACCTGGGGTTAGCGAGGGTTAACCCTAGGGTTAAGCTGGGGTTAACCCTAGGGTTAAGCTGGGGTTAACCCTAGTTTTGAAAAAACAATTAGGGTTAGCTCAGGAAAGGCTTAAAGCTTGTTCCAAGATATGGTTTCCGCATATGAAATGAAAGAGCACTTCGTTGCGCATCCTCTCAACACAAAATGGTCTAGAAAAAAGAATAACACAGGGGTTTAAATGGGCCCGAAACAATTGTTACCCCAGTGGCGCCAAAGGGGTTAATGTGGGCGATTTGGTTCGGCCTAGGGTTAGGCCATTCTAGATGTCAGGGATCCCTTTTGTATACTTAAAAGGATAGAGGAGACGGTATCTGACTTAGCAAAAAAAGAATTTTTAAAAAAGCTTCAACTGGGACTCGAACCCGGGACCTCAAAGTTGCCATGCGAGAGCGCAAACCACCAGGCCACCGAGACCTGGGGTTAGCGAGGGTTAACCCTAGGGTTAAGCTGGGGTTAACCCTAGGGTTAAGCTGGGGTTAACCCTAGTTTTGAGAAAACAATTAGGGTTAGCTCAGGAAAGGCTTAAAGCTTGTTCCAAGATATGGTTTCCGCATATGAAATGAAAGAGCACTTCGTTGCGCATCCTCTCAACACAAAATGGTCCGGAAAAAAGAATAACACAGGGGTTTAAATGGGCCCGAAACAATTGTTACCCCAGTGGCGCCAAAGGGGTTAATGTGGGCGATTTGGTTCGGCCTAGGGTTAGGCCATTCTAGATGTCAGGGATCCCTTTTGTATACTTAAAAGGATAGAGGAGACGGTATCTGACTTAGCAAAAAAAGAATTTTTAAAAAAGCTTCAACTGGGACTCGAACCCGGGACCTCAAATGCTAGGCGAGAGCGCAAACCACCAGGCCACCGAGACCTGGGGTTAGCGAGGGTTAACCCTAGGGTTAAGCTGGGGTTAACCCTAGTTTTGAGAAAACAATTAGGGTTAGCTCAGGAAAGGCTTAAAGCTTGTTCCAAGATATGGTTTCCGCATATGAAATGAAAGAGCACTTCGTTGCGCATCCTCTCAACACAAAATGGTCCGGAAAAAAGAATAACACAGGGGTTTAAATGGGCCCGAAACAATTGTTACCCCAGTGGCGCCAAAGGGGTTAATGTGGGCGATTTGGTTCGGCCTAGGGTTAGGCCATTCTAGATGTCAGGGATCCCTTTTGTATACTTAAAAGGATAGAGGAGACGGTATCTGACTTAGCAAAAAAAGAATTTTTAAAAAAGCTTCAACTGGGACTCGAACCCGGGACCTCAAAGTTGCCAGGCGAGAGCGCAAACCACCAGGCCACCGAGACCTGGGGTTAGCGAGGGTTAACCCTAGGGTTAAGCTGGGGTTAACCCTAGGGTTAAGCTGGGGTTAACCCTAGTTTTGAGAAAACAATTAGGGTTAGCTCAGGAAAGGCTTAAAGCTTGTTCCAAGATATGGTTTCCGCATATGAAATGAAAGAGCACTTCGTTGCGCATCCTCTCAACACAAAATGGTCCGGAAAAAAGAATGACACAGGGGTTTAAATGGGCCCGAAACAATTGTTACCCCAGTGGCGCCAAAGGGGTTAATGTGGGCGATTTGGTTCGGCCTAGGGTTAGGCCATTCTAGATGTCAGGGATCCCTTTTGTATACTTAAAAGGATAGAGGAGACGGTATCTGACTTAGCAAAAAAAGAATTTTTAAAAAAGCTTCAACTGGGACTCGAACCCGGGACCTCAAAGTTGCCAGGCGAGAGCGCAAACCACCAGGCCACCGAGACCTGGGGTTAGCGAGGGTTAACCCTAGGGTTAAGCTGGGGTTAACCCTAGTTTTGAGAAAACAATTAGGGTTAGCTCAGGAAAGGCTTAAAGCTTGTTCCAAGATATGGTTTCCGCATATGAAATGAAAGAGCACTTCGTTGCGCATCCTCTCAACACAAAATGGTCCGGAAAAAAGA